CGGCAGAGGTTGCCTACGATGGAGGAGCCGGGGTGGGGGGCTCCGTGCCTGGGTACCAGCGTGGAAGGAAACGGGCTGGTTCCCGCGGGATGCAGGTGACACTGGAGCAGCCGGTGGGGTCTTGGTCATTAGCACTGGTGGGTGCTGGCTGCAAGGGGTAGGGGCAGGCATGTGCGCTAGTTCCTCTGAGTTCCCTCCTCCTCCTGCGCTGCTTGGGGCGCCTCCTTTCACAGCATCTGATGAGGAGAACTTCAACCTGTGAAACCGCACGTGTCTGTGTTCATCTGCATCTGTCTGTGTCTGTGTCACTCCGCTTTGATTAGTCTATAAGGTGCCAGTCTCCCTGCTGCCTGCAGGCTAAGGCAGCTAACTATGCATCTCAATGTGCCTTTAGATCATTTCATTGGCCTCTCAGCTGCCAGATTTGAAGGGCACATTAAGAATGTCCTAGGCAGATAATCATTGTACCTTTGGCTCCTGTCCAGATGCAGCCAAGGCCCCTCTGCCTCTGTCCATGTCCTCTCACTGCCTTTCCCCTCCTCCCCAGCTGCTCTTGTCCCACGCTGCCCGCCTCACTGTTTCTCTCCTCCAAGCAGCACCATGGCATCAATTGGCAGGCTCATTTCCCCAGCCCTTCTCTCCCTGGAAGGCCTGAGGAAGGGTATCGTGATACCCAAATGGCTTGCCTATATGTATCCCAGTCATACAGCGCAATACAAGATATCATCCGCAAGAATTCTTGCCTCCACTCTCTTCTGTTCTCATGCTGGTTTCATATTTGGCCACACCATCATGTGGCTTTGGTACCAAGTCAGTGTTCTTTGTTAGTATGTGTCTCAGTGCCTCCAGCTTCTCTAGCACCTGTAACTGCACCCCTACGACTTCAGGATGAGCTACTATAACTGACTGGTGACTAGCTGTTACAGGGCCCCCGCATTGTGCTTGACCCAGAGAGGGTACGTTTGTCTATTCCAGTCCTGAGCCAGGAAACTATAGCAGCTCTTGTTTTTAGCTCCACAAGCTCCCAGTTCAGTCCCCAGTATTCAGCCAGGGCAGGGGCAGTTACACCACTACTCTGGTTGGTTGTAGCATGAGAGGCCAGCCTCACCCAAGGGTTTGCTACCATGTTAGCTGGCTCTCTTACCACAATAATGCAACTATCTTAGACATGTCTTTGACTAGACCATACTGAAGGGCTGCTCACTTAAGTCAAGTGTCATCAGCCAGCGTGAAGCTGCAGCTCCTAGAACTAGGAAAGGCCCTGGGGGATGGGACACGACATAGTCAGCTGTATGCAATGGCCCAGACCTCACCCATTTCTTAAGAAGTGAATTAAAGGTGTGGGAGAGAGAGAGGTCAGTTTTAGGTGCTTGGATCTGTGCGGGCCGGGAGCGACCCGAGCCCTTTTCGCGCTGCACGCGGGCTGTGGCCAGCAGCCCGGGCATGCCGGGTCGGAGAGGGAAGGCCGTCGAGCTGGAATTAGGCACAAACGCGTATCGGTAGTTTTAAAGATTGTTTACTTACACCGAGATGGCAGTGGTGTAGGCTGGAAAACTTGATTGAGTTGCGGTTACAGACAGACAACACAGACGGTCTCGTGGAGGTTGCTAGGCTCCACGGTGCAGAGCTCCGGATGCTCTGGGTGAACGAGCCACCAAAATGGAAATCGTAGATACGTCTTATAAAAGTCGCGCTCGAAGACGGGAAGAGGTGGGTGGTGGATCAGGCTGCCAGGCTCCTCTGGATCTCACACAGGGTTTCTATTACCCTGCCATGTACCCAGAGTCCCCACGAGATGGATGTGGAGTCCTCTTCGGCTTGGGTGGAAACCGCTCAAGCCTTTTATACGGCTAACAGGCCAATCGCTAGCCGCCACGTGTGAATAATTTAGCACTAGCCAATCACGGGGGACGAATTTGCATACCGGTGGCGGGAACTCTTTTGCACCGTGCATTCCTCTTGCAACTCGAGCAATGCACTCTGCAAAAGAAGCTGCAGAAAAGGTGGGAAACTCGTCCCTGCACCGGGGTTTTCCTCTGCAACAGGAAACTCTCCCGTGCAATGAAGCTGCAACTTGGCAGGGATAATTCTGGTGCCGAAGCACACACACAATCATGCCTTTTGGGTCATGACAGGGTCTTTCCAGTCCATTATCCAAGATGCCAGAGTAGTTATTAGGATACCATAAGAAATATGACTCTTTGTTTTACAGCTCTTCCCCTTTTGAGGGCCCTTTTCTATCATAACCTGAGGATTACTGGTCTGTGTGCTATGTCAGTTTGTCTATAGCTACAAGATTGGAGGATATGTCACAAATCTAGGCCAGGGTTTGGCAACCTATAGCCTGTGGGCTGGATCTGGCCCATGCAGCTAGGGGGCTCTGGTGGTGTTTGGAGGGGGGGGGGTGGATCTTCGCCCATACCATGCGTGTGTGTGTGTGTGTGTGTGTGTGTGTGTGTAGGCTGCTTAGGAGTAGGGCTAGCCTTGGTGAGGCCACTGAGTCACCAGTTTTGGCTTGAGACCTGGCATTTTTCAACCTGCAGCTAATGGCCTTCCCATCCCCCTTGAACCCAGGCAGGAGCATGAGGGAGAATAGGTGTGCAGGGCAATCCAGGCCTGCAGTGAGTACAGAAGTCAGTGCAGGGCCTACACTTGCCGTAAGAGGGTTGGCTCCACATAGGTGGAGAAAGGATGGACTGTAGACGGGATGGGAGCTACAGTCA